CCCCCCCCCCCCCCCCCCCCCCCGCCTGCATATCTTATTCCCCAGTTGCATGTGAAAACAATTTTTAACATTTATTTTTAACACTTTGGGTTCCAAATATTCTCCCTGCTTCCCAATCCACCCTCATTGAGAAGGCAAGCAACTCGATACAGGTTATACTTGCATAATCACACAAAACACTTCCATTGTAGTCATGCTGTGGAAAACTATTTCCCTTCATTCTACCCCACCGCCCATTTATTCTATTTTGTCTTTTGACCCTGTCCCTTTTCAGAAGTGTTTGCTTCTGATTACCCCCTCCCCCAATCTGCCTTCCCCTCTATCATTCGCCTTGCTCTCTTATCCCCTTCCCCATTTTCCAGGAAATCTTTTACATTTATAAGAGGTGCTGGATAATTATTTCACTGAGCAACTCTCACCAAATGATTAGTTTAAAAACTAGTCAAAATGTGTTATCTACTAACCAGCAACCAAAATTTCATAAGAGATTCACCGTCACAGGTTATAACAGATAACATTATGCTTTACCAAGACAAATTAGTTTGACCCTGGAATGGGAGATGCTGTCAAGGGCCCCCAATTCTCTAAAGGGCTGACTATAATCTGTCCCACACTGATTCAAGAAGAGATCACTCTTGTTCCCAACCACAGGAATGACAAATGCATATCTTACTTGCTACTTGATGTTTTCTATATAATACCTAGTTTCTAGATCATAAGATGCTGTCAATAACTATCCCTGTTAGTTTGTTCTATGGTTCTAATTAGCTAATATGATGGATTATACAACTGCCTTTAGATTGCTTACTTCCTTTTCTTTTTTTTTTTTTAGTGAGGCAATCAGGGTTAAGTGACTTGCCCAAGGTCACACAGCTAGGACATGTCAAGTGTTTGGTCTGAGGCTGAATTTGAACTCAGGTCCTCCTGACTTTAGGGCCAGTGCTCTATCCACTGTGCCGCCTAGCTGCCCCAGCTTACTTCCTTTTCACAATGGCTATTTAATACCACATAAAAACTATATCAAATCATACATCAAGGTCATGATACTTTACAATTTAAAAAATGAAAAACATTTCTTTATTTTCAATAGGAAAATATGGAGCTTTAATTCAAAATAGACATTTTGAAAACAATTTATAAAAAAATTTTAAATGGGAAAAGTTCAGCAAGCTTTTTCTTGGAAGTTTACAATAGGAGAGTACATTAAGAATCACAATCCAATTACACAATTGCTTCAAAAGACGCAGTGTAAAGTTGCATGCAGTATTATCCCAAAAATATTATGTAGAAAGTTCCATTGAATAATAGGACCCAAGCTTTCCACAGAGCATTTCAACGCTTCCATCATATGGGTTTTAAGCTCTATTCTTTTAATAAGGAGCAACAACAAGAAACAAGATGTGTTTTCTTCCCCACCCCACCCCGCTACCCCCGCCCAGATTTTGAACAATACAAGAGACTCAATGACTAGACTGGCTACTCTGTTACTGGATCCAGCTGATTTAAGTGATTTTTAGATTTGTCAAAGATTCTAGCTGATATCCAAAGATCTCCATTTATAGCCAAAGTGTAAGAGAATAAAGAACATATAATTAAGCATCAGTACAATGACATACTATAAACCAAACAGTTGTATCCTTCCATTTTTTCACTGTGAAGGAAATTCCATCACTCTGGTAAATTTTAATATACTAGCTGCTGATCGATGTCCATTAGGCCTAGTTTAATTCTACTAGATGCACTGAAAATCTAATGTAGTCAGCATGTTCCCACTACACTGAACTGGATATTAATTAGTAACCACCAAGTGGTAAAACATCTATATTCCTATTTCCTTATCTTGAAAAAAATTTCCCTGTCCCTGTGTGGGCAGTTTCTGAGCAAATTACGGGGGCAGGGAAAACTCTTCAGATATTCCAAATTTCTCACTGATTAAAAGGCACTAAGAAGGTATTGCCTTATCTCTCTGCATGGAAAGTAATGTCAAAAAAGGAAAACCTGTACTGAAATGTATTTCTACTATCTAGAGAAGAGTACTTCATTTTGGGTAATAATGATGCTTTTAATATATCAACTATATACCACATACCAAATTTTGGATTTGGGGATATATTTCATGAATGAAACTTTCTGATTTCTGTAAAATATAAAAGAAAATAGCACATTCAAAAAACTGTAAATCAGCCACAGTACAAGCAAGTATTTTACAAAGGAGAAATTAGCCAAAGTTAATGCAGCACATCATCACAGTGCCACATGCATCACTGGATTTTTACTTACCACCACTTGTACTCCTGTCTCTTAAGAAAAAGTTTGCTGTACCATTCACCACTGAGAGAACACTAGCTACTGGGATGATGCAAAAATGGGGAAAAAAAAAACAGAAGAAAACAAAAACAATGTGGTTTTGGTTTCTAAGTATCTTAACACTACTGGGTAAACAAGCATGTATAAAACATAAGAGATTTAATTTACATGTAATTGGAAAAACAGAATGACCTCCACAAAACAAGAACTATTCATACCATGTGCCCAGAAATAACTAGAGCAGTGTACGACCATTGTAATTCATGAGGTCATTACACTGGAACTGAAAATCTAAGTGTCCCCCGCAAAAAAAAAAAACAAAAAAACAAAAAAACTCACTAAATTAAAAACTAGCCTTTTGATTGCTTCCTATTTGTGATTTCTTAAATAGCTTTTTTTTTTTACAAGGTTTATGTTTCATACTCAAAGTGTAATCTGTGCTTAACATTTTTCAGTTCTGACATATCAAAGCCCAAAAGCACAGAAGGTTTGTAATTTTTTATTGCTCTTAGGCATGTATATCTTCTCTTTCCAAAAAATGATGCAACATCAATTTTCCACACCCAGAGAAGAGATGATAATAGTTCTATCTCTCTTTTGCTAGGATATGGTCTCTTATGGAAATAATCTTTAAGGAACTGCTTTTTCTCTTCATATGAACGGTCTTCATACTTCTGGGGATTTAGTGCTAGAATATGAAGAGCATCATCATTTATTAGTGGACCTTCAGTCCTGCTTTCATTCTTTTGTTTTTTAGAAGGCACATTCACTGCTTTTTCAGAAACAGAAGTGATGTCATTATCTATGATAAGAGATTCTTCTTTATCCCTTTGGTCCTCTGCCCCAGAATAAAGATCAGGAAGTTTTCTTTTGACAGGAAAAACAGAATCATGTATCTCCCCATTCACTAGTGGAAGTTCTTTTTCACTGAGATCAGGCTGTATCTGAAGATCTGAACTACTAACTTTGGGAGCACTCCTGCATCTTAACAAATGTACAGTAATTGCAGTCATTGTCATTTTTCCAGTATATACCCCACAGCAATGGATGCATTTGAAAGCAGGAGACTTTAAAAATGTATGTACAGTTGGCATGACATGATGTCTTTCCTTTAAATGTATTTCATATGTTTCTGTGGTCACAAACATACCAAGGCAAAAAGGACAGGTACTGACTTGCTTTCCAGGATTGCTGTGGTCCTCAAGAGTCTGTGGCCTCACTTTAATATAGATTGGTACAAGTGTCTTGGAGTACATTCCAGCTAGTATTGCCAAATAGACTTCCCTTTCTCCAAGTTCTTCCTTTGGCAACATGGTAATAAAATCAATATGAGGAAATATTAAGTCACCATTAGCATCAGTATCTAACTGGAAACCTCTGTTACCATAATCCACAGATAATCTCTTCTTTCCAAGGTGAACAGTCCTATTATGATCTGAAAGACTTTTAATATTGTGGAAAGTACATGGACAGAATAAGCACCCCAAACCATGCATTAATAAATGATGCATAAGTTCTTCCTCTGATATGAAACATTTACAAGAGAGACAGCGAAGAGTTTTCTCTTTCATCCATCTTAAAAATGGTGCACATGCTGCAAGTTTTTCAGGCTCAAATTTTTCATTTGATCTTGATCCACCATGTTTATGAGCCACTTCCATGTGCACCTGGTAGACATTAGATGGAAAGAGTTCATTGCAAACTGGGCAGGTTTTCCACTGTTTAGCTTGTTTGAGATTGAAAGCCTGGCTTATTTCTAGAGTAGATGAAGATGCCTGGACAATCATATTTTGAGAAGTGCTTACCACTACTGGAGGAGAGGGTGCACCAGCTGGGGAATGAGATATCTGTGTAGCTGCACTAGACTGCATGAGCTGAATCGGCATCTGTGGTGGTGTAACATTTGCCACACCACCAGGTGGTACAGGTAATGTAACTGAAACTGGTGCTAGGGTATATGTAGGTATCCCATTAACTTGTTTTCCTGTTGGTATTAGCTGTCTAAGGATAGAGCCTGCAGTTAGGAAAGTGGCATTTTGGGAGATACTTTGTCTGACTGGCTGATTTACAGGTAGAACACCTGGCGTAACTGGTTGATTAAGGTGGAGTACTCCAGGTCTCACTGCCTGGCCAACAGGAAGAACTCCTGACATAACAGACTGATTGAGCTGAAGAACCCCTGATGGTACCGTCTGGCCCACAGGCAGAACACCTGATGGGACTGCTTGGCCCACAGGGAGTACTCCTGATGAAACCGTCTGGCCCATAGAGATCATCCCTGGTGGAACTGCTTGGATGACACCTGATGCAACAGGCTGATTAACAGGAAGCACATTAGGAGCAATGGGTCTATTTATAGGAAGAACTCCAGGTCCAACAGGTCTATTTATGGGTCCAACAGGTTGATTAAGGGGCAAAAGTCCTGGGTGAATGGTTTGGTTTATAGGGAGAACCCCTGCTCCAACAGACTTATTGACAGATCCAACTGGTTGGTTTAAGGGAAGAACCGTAGGACTCACAGGATGATTAAGTGGGAGGCCATGAGAAACAAAGACAGGCCGAGGAACAGATGCCTGAAGAGTAATATTATTCTGGCCCACTGGCAAAGGACTAGATACAAGTGTTACGTGTGATTGGGCAGCAGCAGGGGCATTATGGGTAAGAGTCCCAGAGGCACTTGAGGCCACAGTTACTGCCTGTGACTGTACCAGAGTTTGGTTTTGATTATTCTGTGGCAAGGCAAGCTGAATGCAAGTGGAAGCAGTGGCTGCTAGTGCTGGAGCACTGTTGCTAGTTAAAGGAGACATGGCCATATTTGCAGAAAGTTTAGGAGCAATGTGCATTTGCTTCAGAAGCCCTGTTTTCTTAATATGTTCTGAAATCACAGATCTGAGCCTATTTTCCAGATCTCTGTGTGTATCTGATGTCAAAATATGATACATTAAAGCATCCAGGCTGCTGGCCCCTATGTTACATTTTTTACAATAGTACCTATCCAAGGATGGAATCGTACTGGCAAGTGAAGTGTTGTCATTTTTTACTTGCTCAGTAATTTCATCAGTTCTCATACCAAAGTAGGAGGTAATCAAGTAATTAAAATGTGCTATTAGTACATGCTTCTTCATGCTGTAGTACAAAGTGTTTGTAAAGTGACATTTTAAGCATGTGAAGTTTATCACATCACTCCTGGATGGTTTAGATTCACCCAAAATATTCATAGTGTAATTCTGCATTTTCCGATGAGAAGAATGAAACATCCGAAAGTGTTTTTCCACAACTTTGGGCTGAGAGGCAAAAACACATTTTGAGCAAGGAACCACCAGCTCTTGGTCAATTTCATCTTCATGGTAACGATGCAAATGATTTTTCAATGAAGAAAGTAGCTTTGTTGAATACTTGCACAGGCTGCAACAGTATGGCTTTGTTCGATATCTCTATTTAAAAAAAAAGGTAAAATGCTTTCAGTTACATTAAGAGTGAGAAAGCTGTTAAAATGACCAGAACTAACTGTTATAACCATAAATGCAAAGTCCCTCAAAGAAGCTACTTCTGTAGTTAGAGCTTTAGAAGAAATTTTGAAAATATTTCACAAGACAGGTTTTTTTTTTCTTTCCAGATAAACTGTATCTATCCTGCATTTGATACCTACACTATATTAACTACTATTGAAGACAAATAATTACAGCTTTTACATCCAGTTCTTTTAATTACAGTGTTACTCCACAAAGCTCTACTCCAATGTCTCATCATGGCAGAGGTGACTCTGGGCTCTCAAAAGTCCATGTCAGCAGAACATAATCTCTGACAGGTTCTACCATGCTCAACAGTAAAATACGGTCTTCTTTCCTAGGACTACAAGCTAAGTACAGAGAAGCTTAACAATAGCTGAGTACTTTGCAAGCCATGAAAAAATGAAAAATACAAAATGACCCTGTATGATGCATTTCTTTTTCTGCTAGCGACTGTGAAAGAGTGGTGGAAAAGGGCAGAAGAAATGAAGAATTACACTATCTAGAAGACCATATATAAATATTAACTTAGTTTTTTTGTACTATAAATGCAAGATCCTTGTCCAATGATCAATGAGCAGATATATATATATCAAATTATATCAATCATGATATCCTCACTATCAATGAAAACAGAAGAAAAAATGTCAGAAAAATATATAACCAGAAAAAATACCATTCATGTAGCAAGAGTAAACAGGCAACTAACAAATGATGTGTTCTGCTTATACATACAGTTCATGGACAGAACACAAGGAAGGTCATTTTACTTCAAATTTAAACTGCTTCCATTATAATTTATTCAGTCTTTGATACAATAACAAATCCCCTCTGCAATTTTAAGATGCATAAATAAAAGCATCATGACCAAAATGAATTTCATTCTCCTTTGGCAAAAAGATTTTAAGAAGAATACACTGGAACCCTTCTAGAGAATGATGACTAGGATGGTAAGGGGAATGGGAAAAAAAAAAGTAGAGATGAAACAAAAGCATTCCAGTATATGAAAAGCTGTTACATGAAGAGCTAAATGAAAGCAATGAAACCAAGGAAATAAGAGTGAAGACTTTCAGTTTTGTCCCAGAATCTCCACTAACGGACCTGGAACATAACAAGCATTTAATAAAGATTTGTTGAACTGAATCAAGGAAGAGTTCTGCTAAAGAAGTTAAGTGACTTGCCGATGGTAACACTGCTAGTTAAGTGTCTGACACCATATCTGAATTCAGCTCTTCCTGACTTTGGACCCAGAGCTCTGTCAACAGCACCACCTACCTGCCTCAAAGAATGAAACAATTCCCACTCTCAAGGAACTTACAATGTAATGAGGAAACAAGTACATATATGACTCTATATAAAATATAAAGAGAATAAGAAAGGCATTAGTAACTGGGGGATTAGGAAAGGTTTTATGTAGAAGGTGATACTTGGTGTGTGTCTTGAAGGGACAAAGGGATTCTGAGAAGTGGAAGTGAGCAAAGAGTATATTTCGGCATAGCAAATAGCTTGTGCAAAGTGCCAAAGAAATGGGAGATGGAGTGTTGTGTGTGAGAAATTGAGGGGCCAGTTTGGTTAGACTGTAGAATACAGGAAGGATGATAATAAACAAAACAAAACCATAAAACTAAACTTTAATATGCTAGGTATAACAATGGAGAGCGCTGGATTTGGAATTCAGGAAGCCCTAAGTTCAAATCCTGCCTCAGACACTTATTAGGTCTGCTTTTGCTTGACCTTTGCTAAGTTACTTAAACCTCCTCTGTTCCTTATTTGTAAATTGGGGATAGTAGCACTACCTCCCACGGTTATTGTGAGGATCAAATGAGATGACATGCAACAAGCTTTGCAAACAATAAAGCATTATAAAAATGCAAACTATTATTTATCTTATATTTTTGGAAGAGAGAAATCAGTTGTCTTGGACATGTTTCATTTAAGATGTCTCTGGAATATAATTTAAAATGTCCAATGGAGGACTGAGGGTGAAAGGAGAATGGAAATACAGTATGTGTGTATATATATGTGTGTGTGTGTGTATATATACACACACACACACACACACACACACACACACAGATAGATAAACATACAGATAGACACACATACACAGTAGATATGGGTGTCATTTGCATTGAGATGATATTTAAACCTATGGGAGCTGAGATGACCATGAGAGTGTAAAGAGAAAATATAAGAGGCCAGGACAAAGTATTAGGAATATATTCACTTAAAGGACGTAACATGGATAATGAAACAGCAAAGGAGACTGGGTAGCTGTCAGAAAAGTAGGAAAAGAACCAAGAGAGACTGGTATCATGAAACATCAGAGGGCAGTGTGGTTAACCCTGTCAATGTAACAGAGAAATCAAATAGGATGAAGGCTGAGAAAAGACCATTAGAATTGGCTAACAATGGGGCAGCTAGGTGGTGCAGTGGATAGAGCACCAGCCCTGGATTCAGGAGGACCTGAGTTCAAATATAGCCTCAGACATATAACACTTACTAGCTGTGTGACCCTAGGCAAGTCACTTAACCCCATTGCCTAGCCCCCCCCCCAAAAAAAGAATTGGCAAACAAGAGAATGTTGGTAGATTTGGAGAGAGGAGTTTCAGTTAAGTGATATTTGAAAGCCAGATTGCAACAGTTGAGAAATGAAAGAAAGGAAGTGGGAGCAAAGAGTATAGATAGCTTTTCTAGTACAGATGAGAAAGGGAGCAGAGAATAGGATTATAACTTGAAGGTAATGTTCCCCTCAAACGGCTGATGATGAGAAAGACTTAAGACTACATGAAGAAAGTAGGGAGTCAGTAATTGGGGAGAAGTTGAATATCACAGAAAGGTTAAATGAGTGTGGGAGCAAGCTTCTGGAGAATAGAGAAAGGGATGGGACTGGCTTCAATAAAGAGTAGGATCCCCCTCATCATTAAAGGGAAGGGAGGAAAGAATAAGAGATGACATCGAGGATTTCTGAGATGAAGGGAAGAGTCAAAGAGGTAGCTCAAAGGTAAGAGATTGGGTCTTCAGGAAAAGGTTAAGGGAGGGCACAGGTTTGAAATATATTCTGAGGGAAGCAAAAAGGGGAATCAATCAAAAGAATTACCTTCCTGCAATAATGGCCCAGCTGAAGTTGTTTAATATGAATTTATAGTGTACTTCCATGTGACTTCCCACAGCAACGTAGGAGTAGGAACAGAAGATAACGGTGGGATTAATTCAGGGCTGGGGTTTAGCATGGGTTAAGCATTGATAGCACAAGGGGGCAAGGGATTCAATAGTTAAGTTTAGGACTGAAGTTGGGAAAGGAAGAAAGTGAAGAGGAAAAATAAATAAATAGCTTGGACAAAGTGCTGAGTAGAAGGACTGAAGGTAACAATGAAAAGTGACAGGTTTAAAGGGGGTAAGACAATGAGAAGGATGGAATGATAGCACTTATGGTAAAAGGGGAATGTCAAAATTTTTGATTAACGAATTAGAATATATATGGGTAATGGTGAGATCTAGGGTTTGACTATGCCTAGGTGAAGAAGGTAATATGATTTAAGTAGATTAAGGAACTCAGAGATTAAGGAGTTGGAGGGAATATATCAACATGGATATTAAGTTCCCTAGTGCAGGGAGAAGAGAAGACCATAATGAGCCAGTTATTGAACTACTTAAGATAGGAGGGAAAATGACCTGGGTAGTATTAGAAATCAACTGATATGAGCTGAGAAGTAGATTTTGATAGAGGAAATTTCAAGGGAGAAGAGGTTGTTGAAAAAAGGAAGCTAAAACTAAGTCTGGAAACAAAGAGCAGGGAGGAGACAGGTAGTATTCTAACTCTACCTCTAAGAACAGTGAATGTGTGTTTGTGGGGTGGGATGAGGAATAGAGGGACAGATAAATTACATTCAGTTCTTGTGAAGATGGGATGCAACATGGTCTAAGACAACTCAAGTAAATGGAGTAAAATCAAGGTCCAGAATGAAGCAATGTTTGTTCACCATGAAATAAATTCCATGGGGTTCAGTGGTTAGAGGTGGGAAGAGTTGGAGCAGAACAAAGGAAGGGTAGGGTTGAGGAAAATAGGGAGGGAAGAGTAAGTGACAGGGGTTTGGGATGGTCAGGAGTTGAGTAATACAGAGACTAGGAAACAAAGCTGATGGCAATCTGTTAACCATAAGGGCAGCAGCAATGGCAGATGAATAATAATACACTCTCCAAGGGATGTTGCCAGCAAAAGCTAAGAGCCAAGAGCCTTGGTTTTACCTCCTGCTCTTCCTTAGGACTCAACTTGGGGGAGGGAGGAGGGAGAAAGGAATGAAGGCTGGAAAATGGAGGAATAACATGGCCAAGATGATCTGATTAGTGAAAAACACAGTGGAACTTATTACCCTTACTTATTCTAAAAATGACATTGCAAACCTAGATTGCATTAGGTTTGTTTTGCCTGCCCCAACACACTTGAGTCACAAATAGACCTCTAGTAAAATTAGAATACCCATCTTTTCCAAGTGAAGTATTCGAGGGGTGGGGAACAAACAGCAGTGAGGAGCACTGCTGGCCTCCAGGCCACATGTGGCCTCTAGGTCCTCAAGTGCAGCCCTTTGACTGAATCCAAACTTCACAGAACAAATCCCCTTAATAAAAGAATTTGTTCTGTAAAACATGGGACTCAGTCAAAAGGCCCACACCCAAGGATCCAGAAGGCCACAAGTTAAACCACTTATATCCCTCATTTTAAAATTTCAGGATGCACTGCTATTTTTCCAGTGACTTTCATAACAAAACTTGAGCTACATTCCCAAAGAACAAAACATCAACTCCTTTTTAACTAAGGAAAGGGGTTAAGAGAGGGTCCAACCACATGGTGCACCAATAGAAAGTTTAATACTGTTAAAGAATTATAGTCCTTATCTAGTCACTATAACATAATTTTCCATTGCACTACTTTCCTAAGGTCTCTAAGAGATTACTTGCTTTCAATAAGGCAAAAAATTTTCTTTTGTAACAAGATAATTTGAATGTTTATTATCTCCAAAACTGCTATCCCTATCCATTTGCCTAGTATGTATTTACATTTTGCCACTATAAAACAATGAAGTCCAGCCTGAAATTTCTTAGGTTACAGAAGACTGACTTCCTTCACTTGATCAGTACTCAAAAATTTATATAGAACTACTATACAGTGCCTCTGGAGTTCCCAAAAGTCTTGGTGCAGTTCTAAGCTTTAATAGCTTAATATTAGGGGCAGCCAGGTGGCACAGTGGAAAAAGCTCCGGCCTTAAAGTCCGGAAGACCTGAGTTCAAATCCTGCCTCAGACACATGACACTTACTAGCTGTGTAATAAGCAAGTCACTTAACCCCAAATGCCTCATCAAAAGGAAAAAAAAAGTTTAATATTAAAAATAAAAGCATTAATAGCTTAAGATTTTTGGAACACTGTTTTGTGGGGACACACCATATTATCAAATGCCAAAAATATAATTTTTCTTTTCACTTTGGGAAAAACTTATTACCTCTTCATTTACCAATATTCATTCTGGATACATCAGGTATTCTTCAGAACTATGGATATATACTTATATCTAACTTTCTGTTTTAAAGGAAAATTTTAGGGGCAGCTAGGTGGCGCAGTTGTAGAGCACCGGCCCTGAAGTCAGGAGGACCTGGGTTCAAATCCAGCCTCAGACCAAACACTTTTCAGGTACTAGCTGTGTGACCTTGGGCAAGTCACTTAACCCTGATTGCCTCACTAAAAAAAAAAAAAAAAAGAAGAAAGAAAAAGAAAAGAAAATTTTAAACTCATCTGTCTAATACATACCTTTCTTTTTCCTGAAGATTCCCAAGGGGAAACATCTCCCCATGACGTACTGTAAAAATATTTCTCTCCAGGGTCATAACCTTTAAGGTCCTTTAAAATGGGAAAAGAAAAAAAGGTTAACTAAATTCAAAAACTGAAGAAATAAAATCATACAACTATCTCTGTTGTGATTATCCAAAAATGCGGCTTAAACCTAGGTCTGTAATACGAAGCACATGTATTTTATTCATATAGAGGCTTTCAACTCAGCCTTAAACACACGCACTTAAACACAATTTTTAAAAGTTTGAATATCTGGAACATTCAACCACATTGAAATAGAAAGTTGGGAGTTGGGAGGAAGGGGTATGAGAGTGTAGTAGATTCTAGAAACAGGTACAATGACAACAAATACCTGACTCCCTGTGAGTAGGGGAAGAGGAAGAAAACTATTAAGAAGCAAGGTGAAGAAGTGAAAAAGCTCAACTGTCTAGGGCTGCTTAGTGCAGAACAGTTCTACTTAACTCAAGAGCCCTTAAGAATGTCACACAAATTTATATTAAAAATGACCCTGAGTCATGAAAAAAAGGATAAAGAATATTCAGCACATTACTTAAAAACCGATAAAACACTGTAAAACCATTTCCAGCAAAAATGACTGAAATGAGTATATTTTTAAAACTAAGAGGACAGCCATAAAGGAATGGCTGAACTACAGCATATAAACGTAATGGAATACTATAGTACGGTAAGAAATGATGAAAGACACTGTGTTTCAGACAAACTTGGAAAGACCTATATGAACCCATGCAGAGTGAAATGAATAGGAGCAGAGCAGGAAAACAATTTATATTATAAAATCAACATTGTAAAAATGAATAATTTTTAAAGATTTGAAAAATTGATCACCACATCAACCATAATTGCAGATGAACAATATGGGAATTTGTTTTGCCTTGAATATAATTTCTTATTACAATTATATGGGTGACCACATTCCTGAATAATACAAACATTATTGTTATATGTTGTACTGAAAATAAGGCACAGTAGAAATAATGTTGGATCTGGAGTCAGATGACATGGGTTCAATTCAGACTCCACCAAGAACATTAATAGTATACCCCAGGGCACATCACTTCTTCTATCTGGGCTTCAGTTGTAAAATGAAATAACCTCATCCCATTCTACATCTACTTATATTGTGTGGTTTGAGGTTGTGTTGTGGTTTGTTCTTTGTTTTCAAAGAGGACCAAGGCATCAGAAAGATATGATGATTCTATAACTTGCAAGAGTATTGGATTTAAATGCGGGAGGGCTGTGCAAAGCACCAGTCTCACTTTCTCCTTCAGAAGCATCTGGGTCCAGTGGCCAGATATACATCAGGACAACTGGAACTTGTCCAGCATATCTACTTATATGTTTAATGAAACAAAGGAGCACATCAAATGTTTTTTAGACCAGAAGTTCTTAACCTTTTTTGTCTAATGGACCTCTTTGGCAGCCTACTGAAGCTAATGGATCCTTTAGAAAATGTTTTTCAATGTGTATGATTATAAAGAAAACCAATTATATTGAAATAGTTATCAAAAAAAAAATTTTTTTTTAAAAAACAAGTCCTCAGATCCCAAGTTAAGAACTTCTGTTTTAGACTCTTTAGGTTTGTTCCCCAAGGGCAACCCTCCAGAGTAATATTTTAATGATAAAAAAAAAAATTCTAGCTTTATTTTTGGCTAGGATGTAGTAAATTAGATAGCTTCTGCCTTTATCATAAGAAATTAGATGCCCCATATTTCAAAAAAAATTCATCTTGTTTTATTGATGTCTTCTGTTTTTGCATCACATTCATTTCCAAATATTCTGTGTATATATACCTTCACCTACCTAGAAAGCCACACCTTTTAGTTAAAAAAAAAAAAGAAAAAGAAAAGGGGGAGGATGAGGGCTGTCAGTAAAACTAACTAAATATTGAGTGTCTGGGTACTTTTCACACATTCTCCATAAAATTTCTAGGAATTATGATCTCATTTCAATTATGTCTATGTCTCAAAAATAATTGCTTTTATAGCCTATTAATAACAACTTCCATCATTATAACCTCAAATAACATGTTAAAATATTTATATTCAAAGCATAACAACTGTATATATAAAATTATATGATTCATAAGAATGGTATCACAAGAAAAAGTTTTGATTGTGTAGCTGCACTTTAATTGATATATAAATAAAAGTTAGGATTCCCTCAAAATAATTAGTCTACTTTCCCTTATCCCACAGCTTACAATATTTTACTTTTTTCTGTTTCTTATTTTAGGATTCTAATTTTTCACAAGTTTTTTACTGCTTTTATTTCTTTCGGGTTAAGTCAACACTACATAAAAATAATTCATTTCTAGACTACACCACCTTTGTTATCGATTGGATTTGAACAACTACTGAGCACCAACATGAAAACTTAAACTGAATCCTATATTAATTTAGAGAAGGGTAAAGGTAGATATATGCGGACTATTAACATCACTCTATCCTAGCATAACTCTAGCCATAGGATGGGGACTATGAAGGTTACAACCCAGATTTTAAAAATAGTTTCCAAACACCCAAGAGCATAATGGACTATTTTACCTTTATAATATACAGGTAGCTAAGTATTATCCACAGTATACTTTTCAGTAACTTCCTAAAATACTGCAAAATTCCAGACTTCACAACTTGGAAATCATTCATTATATAAGAAAGACAATAAAAAACAAAGACATTTACATGCTTACATACTGTGGGCACGTTTATTCAGACTTTATTTTGAGATAACATGAGTAAAACCTTGAAATATACGATACAGCATAATACGACATATTTAGAAAACTTTGTTCTGACTATACTCTAAGTAAGATAAATAGACATGCTCTACAGATAAAACAGGTAGACAGGCAGTTGAAGTAGACTGAGTTCTCAACGTACAATTGGGATGAACTATATTTGAACTCCGCCTCTGACACTTAGAATTCTTCATGTATAAAATCCATATAAAATACCACCTGTAATAAGCATGTACCCCCCCCAAAGGGTTATGAAATTCAAATGAGGTAATGGAGTGCTTCATACACCTTAAAGTTCAGTTAAACGTCATGCCAACTTAAAATTTTGAGGGCCTAACATAATACAAGCCACTGTTATGTGCTGGAGATATAAAAAAAATACTCCCTTAAGGGGCTTATATTTTACTGGGGGTTGCAGGAAGAAGAGATATAAATCCACCCATACCCTGCTAAATATCTAGTTGGGAAGAACACTAACAGCTTGAGAAGATGGAGTTTGTAGAAATTTAGGAAAGGCTGCATAGATGAGGTGGCAACTGGGCTGAGCTCAGAAAAAAGCTAAGTATTTTAAGTGGGTTAGATGAAAAAGTACATTCCAGGTGTTGGGGACAGCTTAAGTAAAGGCAGGTGTAGGGGACAGTGCATTCCAGGTGTGGTGGACAGCTTATGTAAAGGTGAGAAGACAGACTGCCAACTATTTCTAGACATAAATCCTGTTTGAGAACTGAAAACAGGCACTTTATTGATATCAATGACTACAACTGGCCACAACTCACCAAATAACCGTAGCGTACTGTATTGGTTATCCTGGGGCCTTCTCTTATATATGTTTGTTGGGCCAGTACAATATAATTCATGAAGATAGCACCTAAATAAGAGTCATGTGCTGCTGTATGTCACCCATCTTCCCCACCCACTCCAGATAGCCTGTGTATTGGACTATGCTTGGTAGCCATCCCAGGAAGGTGTCACTCACCAGAAAGCTAAGTTTGTGATCACACATCCAATAATGCACATCCAACCAAGGCAGAGGATTTTTCTAAGACTCCATCTCATTACCTTGGGGTATGTTTTAAAGCTACACACTTTACAACAGACATGAAAACAGATGCAATTAAGGACATGTTATAAGCACCATGTTAGCCAGGAAAACAAGGATGAAAACCAAACAGTCCCTGCCCTCAAGAAACCAATATTCTTCTGGGCAGAATATAGTCTAACACATATGTAAACAAGAAAAGTTAAAATTTATGTAGTGCGTTGATGTTTGCAAAAGTACATATCCCATTTGACCCTCACAATAACCCTTTAAGATACGTGTTGTAGGCTCTGATTCTTAAAATCTAGCCAATAACTCATTAATGTTCAGACTCCTTAAGAGTCTGCCCAACATGACGGATGTTCTAATAAACCTTGTCTTTGGCTGGGGGAAAAAAAAAAAAAAGATATGTACTGTGATTAAGTCCATCCTACAGCTGAAAGTAAGGCACACTGAGGTTAAGTGACTTATCCAAAGTCACATAGCTACCTGAAGCAGGGTTCAAACTCAGATACTCTTGACACCAAAAGGAGCGCTCTATCCAGCTAAGTGCTCATTTAACCTTTGTTTGAAGGCCTCTAATAAAGAACAATGCCAAGATCCCTTGATAACTGAGGAAGCCTCAAAGCCACTGAAGAATATAAGAATCACTGATACAGGAATCAAATCTAGAATGCACAACCTACTAGCACCGTGAAAAAAGAAGTAGGTAACTGACACCAGCTTGCTTAATAGTATATAAGTGGAGTGCCAACAGATTCCAACAAGTAAATCTTGTCAGCCATCCTTTGTTTACCAGCACCCACTGTGCCTTCCCCATAACAGTATCATTTCCTCAAGAAAAAAGCAAAGAGTTGCTCACTGCTCAGTGCCTATGCATATATAATAAGTAGGCCAAGGGAAAGGCAGTCACAGTAGTCAGAGCGCCCATACGGTTAATTAACTTCTTAAAAGGACTTCAATTTTTAAAAATTTCCTAAATATTAATGAAGTATATATAGCCTTCCTAATGCATTTACTAGTAATTCTTATCTTCTATAATCTAGGATTTGGCATAACTGGCATACCATACGTTTTAAACGTTAATAACTAGAAAAACAGATCAACCTAAAAGTGGATTTCACTTCTGGCAAAAATGGCCTAGAGAAATGGGGTACAGAAATCTATCCTGCCCTACAGGAAAACTGAAGGGGAAGGGGGTAAGAGAAGGGGCGGAGAGATAGAGAAAGGAGGGCAGATTAGAGGAAGGGT